AAATAGTTATCAGGAAAAATTATGTCACAATAAAATGCACTATGGTTTTCTAAACATATGGTGCGTATCATCAGTATTTGTAGAGCACTGAAAAAACTGCATGTTTCATTATAAAGAGAGCAAAATTAGTCCCATTTCACTGAATTTAGTGCAACACAGTATGCCAAATATTGAATAAAAATCATTGTGTTCACAGTTTTGATAGTATTTTTTTAAATGTAGCACTGCTTTTTCTATTTTTCTCTGTCCCAACTGATCAGACATCTGAATAATTTATACAGTGACATATTGTATATTGTGAAAATTTCTTTAAGTATCACAATGTTAGATTTTTGCCACATCGCCCACCTCTATTTCACAGTAAACAGCACTCAGGTCTTAGCTAAACTCTTCTGTGCTAAAGTAAACGCAACAAAAACACCCACAAAAGCTCATTCAGCTTCTCTCAAAATAGAATAATGATCCTGACAAAATCCATCCTGATATGATAATTAGATCCCACTACTGCACTGCTATGATTGCTAGTCATGATGCTAGATTGCTATCGCAAGAGCCTCTTCAGTAGACATTTCTGAGTTAATGTGTGGAATGCAGACTGTGACAACTGTTTCGGAGCCTTCTGTTATGTGAGTGTGGACCGATAATTTGGTCGGGGGGATGCAGACTGTTCCGTCACACCTAAAAACAGCTCTGTGATAATCCAGCCATTTTAAGTGCCTCCATAGCATCATGACAGAAGACTCTACAGCTCACTATTGAGTAATGCTGCCACTACATCACCTTTATAAAGAACGATAACACACTTATGCAACTATGTGAGATAGGCACACACAAACACCCTTGTGAGCCAATGTGAACTACCAGCACCCTGAAAAGAGAAAATGAGTCTGCTTACTGAACTACTAAATCAACTTGATCCTTCACGTCAACTTGATCCTCATCAAGTGTCACCTGTGTGTTGGATAATAACATAAACTGAATATACAAAGAAACTCCATATAAGCACATGATAAGGGCCGTGAGTGGTCAGTGTGATCTGCGTCTTTAAGTAGAGGCCTTCCCAGCCAAACAGCCCTCCGCCATCTCTGCCAGCTGCTCTACAATCTGCTAGGCCAGCAAGAAGTGAAAGGAGAAATCTGTCAGCGCAGTCCAAACTGAACCATAAATTGTCTGTTCGCCGCCTTGTTTACTTTAATTCATTAGTATGCTGCTTTGTGCGCAAAGACCTTGAAATGCGTAGCACTAACAAAAACACGCTCGCACATAGGCACACACGTTGAGTACCACTCTCACATCCACCGCAGCCAACCGGGGCGAAGGAGGGTGAGGGGGGAGACAGAGGGTTGCTAGGCAACGTGGGGTAACATTAACACAATGTGGACAGAGAGAATCAGGTGTCTGTGGTAGAAACATCCGGTGGACGACTCCTCAATCATTGCAGTGCTGATGGGTGTTTATAATGACCACATACATGCCATTACCAGATTGTTCTCAGCTCTGTTCACGCTACATAAGCAGGATGAAACAACGGGTTTCATGGGCAACCATCGAATCATGAATATGAATGAGGAAAGGAAAAGACATCAACTACTATATGTGAAAAATCAAACTTATTTGATTTGTAGAGAAAAATGTCATCTGATCTGAGCATGTTTAAGTTTCTCTTTTCCCTCATACAATCTGCTCTCATGCATAATTACTTATTTGTAAACATACCCTATTCAGATAACGCCAGTGTTTATAACTTGATAGTAAAAGCTAAAATTCCCATGCTCTCAGAAATAAATATTTACATGTGGGGGTGGCCAATATGGCAAAAATACAACATCATAATACACGATATTTTATGATACACAATGTATATTTTTGGTTTGAGAAGTTGGAACAGAGAACAAGAAACACACTGAAAATACAAAACTTCAAAGTTAGTTATTGTAATGATAAATATTATCATATTGCGCTTCCTGTTCACAAATAAATTAAGGCTGAGAAAACATCTTCACATCTTCACTGATGTTCTATTCCTTTGGAGTTTTCTTACAACCCCACTTAAATCCTAAAGCATCAACGACAACAAAATGTGCTATGACTGATCATAACAGCTTGATCACACTGCCTGTCTGGCATTATTTAAAGTTGTTATCACCTGTAATTTTTGCTAGCACACATACAGACTCTATCACGCTAGTAAACCGCTGTCTGATCTGTCTCAAAGCACTGAAATTATAACGAATGGTACTTCAGTCTGTCAATGCCAAATCATTGAAGCTGAGTTTCATGACGTTTCTGACTGTCTCCTCAGAACACTGGACACACGTAACATGATTCTACACAAAGGTTATAAAAAATTAACCAGCCAACACAAATTATTCATCAATCAGACGAAGGGGACGTTAGCCAGGTAGGCTAACATTGGAATTTCACCCAAATGCTGGAATCTTTCACCTAGTTTACCTAGTCGTGGACACTCTGTCCACGACACATGGTTTAACCTTGGCCTATGAGAGCCCACGTCTACAACACATGCACAAATGAATTGTCTATTTTGAAAGATACTCTCCACTTTAAAATAATAATAAAATGTGGGAAAGTGACAGTTACACAAGAGCTTTCTAACTGGCATACAGGCAATCATCAGAACAGTTCATTCACTACATAACTGAAGGAATTTGTCCTCTAGCACTACAGATACAGGTCAATACCACAGTTTTTGTGATTGCTTTAGAGTTAGACTAAAAATGCTCAGAAGATGTTTTACAAAAGAATGTCTATTAAAATTGTAAATGAAGGGTGAAATGAAGCATGAAGAGTACAAAATGATGTCTAAATGAAGTTTCAGCAGCTCTCTCAGGTTGGCACCATCCACAGATACCCACAGATTATAAGCTCCACCAAATTACAATGACATTTAAAGCTTCAGTATTTCCCAGTGGTCCACCCGAGCGAAAATTAAATAATCTCTTTAGCCCCACTGACATTCCAGAATTACCATATTACATGCGAATACAACAAGTTTATCTACTAGGTGCTAATTACTAGAGCTGCTCGACTCTCAACTGCTGAACAGAAATGATCTCGCATCCATCCTTTCATCAACTGCCTCATCACGTCTGGGAAGTTGATCTGTGTTGTGGACCCAACTGGAGTGATATTTTAACATTTTTAAACAAATGTGTCTCTGAGATAATCTACGATTTCCCAAGAAATGTTTAAAAATATCCCACCACAGCAGGCATGTAACAGACCAAAATGTTTCCAAGCCATGTCCATACAAGGTGAAGCGCTTCAACAACTTCTCACATTGCTGGCCAAATACACAACAGCAAAGCATTCAAAGACATTAAAAGAGTGGGGAACTGAAAAACCTAATTTACAATATTTTCCCCTTACACCAAACAGTGTTGATCAGCCAAGACATGTTTGAGGTTCAAGGTTTGCTTCTTTAGTTTTGCACTGGAGTTAAGGGGCTAATATAATAAAAGTCTTCCATTACCTGTTAGTTACATGAACATCATAGTTGGGCACTATGACAATATTTATCATTATCACAATAAATTAAATCACAAGATGTCACAATATGCTTTTCTGAGCATATCTTGGATATCATCAGTACTTAAAAATGACCTACCAACTACATGGGAAGAGAAAAAAGAGAGCACAATTGGCCCTGTTTACGTGGATTGAGTAAAGCACTGTGTAAAATGTTTAATACAAGTAATTGGATTAAAAAATTTTGGTAGTGTTTTTGAAATGTCAGAAATAATAAATATTTTGACATGACACGTTACATATCATAAAAAACTTGATTTATCATGATATTACATTCTGCCATATCGCCCACCTCCAGCTCCAGTGCAAAACTACAGAATCAAACTTCGGTCAAGTATGTTGTGCAAATGTGAGTTTTCGACACTCTGTAGATACTTCAAGTGAGTGAAACTCTAACAACATTTCATTTTTGCTCCACCTTGATTTGTGTAAACTGCCTTTGCTGGTGATCTGTGTTTTTGCTTCAAAATGTACAAGAATGATACCATCTACTTGTGCTTGGCAGGCAGATCCCTCAGGCAGCCTACAAGTGTAAGCCAGAGTCGACACATGATTTATTTAGGCGAGGGTGATGAGGCCACATTGTCCAGGATTAACGGAAGCACGTGTAGACACTGCTATACCCATTAATATTTCAGCTTATAGTCATTTTCTTAAAAGTTGGCCCATATGTGGCTGCAAGTTCACGCCGGACGCTCCACTCAGCCCATGCCGCAGTGTCTGCATCCCATCAGGGACAAATCAGGTCACTGTAAAACATCCAAAAGCCACTTCTCATTCAGCACCAACAAGCAAGAATGCACACAGGCCTAAAGGCAAAGGGGCTGACTCAGTCCAGGAGCAGCCTCACAGGTAAAAGCCACACAATGATGTGTCTAGTTCTCTCTGTCAAACTGGGTCTAAAGCCTCTTAGCTGTGCCTGCCTCACCTAAGATGTGGCTCTGCTATTCCTTATTTGGCTGCATGAGTGCTGCTTAAGGATGAGAACATTTCTGGGCCCTTTTTTCTGCAGAATACAAATTAGCCAGCCTCTGTCTACTCTACTGACGTCAGCAATTGCTCCCTCTCTCCTCACACAGACACACACACAAACACACACAGACACTCAATAACAGTTTCACACTCAGTCTACATCACTTATATTTAAGACAGAAGTAACTACAACTCAAGAAAACTACCAGTAGAGGAACATTTCGAGCCTCTCAGGCGTGTTTAGAGTCCTCTGGAAGCCCAAAGTAGCCCAAGTCCAGCACTGTGAGGACACTGCCCTACTGCACTTTGCAAACGCTGCACATTCGCCGCAGAGCACCAGCAGAGACAGGAGAATGGGGTTCACGCTAATGAAGCACGCGCTTACGGTTTTCTCCTCGGTCTAGTGTCTACGACTCGTCTACAATGTTCAGACGTCCGTCGTTTTCAGTCGCACTTTAATTGTTCATGTCCGTACTGACCTGCCCGCGGAAACACTCCAGCTTTCCCGCTGTACCGTCGCACGTTTCTCGTAGTGCTGCGCGCACCAGCGGCTCATTTAAACACGCTCTGCCCGCCGCTATTTATTTTTCCCCACCCGTATTCCGACAAGCCCCGCCTCCTGAGCTCGGATTGGCTGCTAATGTCCTGCCTCCTGCGCTGGGATTGGCTTAGCCTAAAGCTCTAATCAGTTTGACTTTCAATTGAAGATCTGCAGCAACCTTGAGAAACAGAGCCGAGCTACACTCTAATATAAGAGATTAAATAGGCAGATGTGGGTAAAAGAAGTCCAAAATAGACTGAAAGGAAAAGGAAAAAACAGCAAATCAACCAATGAAAAAAATGGTCATTTTGGTCAATGTTCATGATTCTGTATAGACCTACGGTCTTCACTATAGAACCCTTAAAGAACCATCTTTTTTAAGAGTGTGCATTTACTTGAATTTGTTCTTTCCTAAGTATACGTACATTATTAGAACAATTTACTTATACTTAGGAATATACTTAGAATACTCAGAACAAATTCATCAAGTAAATGTACACTCTTAAAAAGATGGTTCTCCATAGGTTCTTTAGTAAAGACAGTAGGTCTGTATAGAATCATGAATGCTCAAAGAACCATTTGCTTAAATGTGTAAATGTTTCTTTGCATGGTGCATGGTAAAATAGTTATTCAGGCTGATGGAAAATGTGTTATATAGAACCTTTAAAAAGGTTCTATAGAACACCAAAAATGGTTCTTCTATTGTTTTTGGTGCTCTATAGAACCATTTTCAAAAAGGTTCTATATAGAACCATATACAACACATTCTCCATCAATCTGAAGAATCATTTCACCATGCAAAGAACCATTTAAGCATACAAATGAGTGCTCATGGTTTTAGAACTACTGTACTTACTAAAGAACCCTTGAAGAACCATCTTTTTAAAGACTGTAGTCACTATGCACCTCTAGCCATTAGAATCTTTCTCAGCAGGTAAGCTGTTGTTATGACATATGACATTTCCATAATGTTCAATTGTTGATATCATTGGTCACTGAGGTCACTACATACTGCTGAGGTCATTGTGCTTTAAAAGATCACTGCAGTATAGCACTATTGGCACAAGATTGTTTTATCCCCACTGTATGCATGCCTACATTACTCTAGGCCTAAGGAATAGCCCCTTTATTTTTCATTTAAAACCAAATTTCTTGCCAGTCTTCCGAGATATTTTTGAGAAATGTGGTCTTCTAAAGTAAGTAACAGTGCAAAATTACCTCCCATAACACCAAAATTGTTTTTAATGACCATGAAAATGTTTAAAATGTTTTTTGGAGGAAAAACCTTGGACTACTCTCTTAAGGCTCAGCAAAGCATGTCCACTGTAACTCAATGGCATTGACTACAAATTAAGTCCAGAAGCTGCAAACAATGGCATGAACAACAAGTACACTTAAAATTATAAATAAACCAACCATAAACCAGTCACTTAGGGTTAGACAGCCAGAAGGCTGGATTCATGTTTCTCCTTCTCATGTCTTTCTTTCTATTGTTCCTCTTGCAGTTATTTCAAGTTCAGTTCAGTCTGAATGCCACTGCACAGAACAAACAGCTTTGTTTTCTTACCAGCCCCCAAATCTGCACATTATTCTTACATTTATTACGTCTCAGTGTCTTTTTCAAGCTCCACTCACTTTTAATTCTTGTTCTCACCACATGAAGACAGGCATTTGGCCAAAAGTGACTGTTTAATTTGTGAATAAATACAAACAAACAAACAAAAAGATTTTCTGATAAAGGTAATATTGATTGGACTGGATTAACCATGACATACTGCCCATGAGGCCAAAAACATTTAAAGGGCCTGGCTTAATAATTGTTCATATGTGCAGAAGGATTTAACCAGCGACAACCTGTGATCAGTTTATCAGTGAGTTAAGACATGGATTTAACCAGCGACAGAACCTGTGATCAGTTTATCAGTGAGTTAAGACATGGATTTAACCAGCGACAGAACCTGTGATCAGTTTATCAGTGAGTTAAGACATGGTTTTAACCAGCGACAGAACCAGTGATCAGTTTATCAGTGAGTTAAGATATGGTTTTAACCAGCGACAGAACCAGTGATCAGTTTATCAGTGAGTTAAGATATGGTTTTAACCAGCGACAGTTTATCAGTGAGTTAAGATATGGATTTAACCAGCGACAGAACCAGTGATCAGTTCATCAGTGAGTTAAGATATGGTTTTAACCAGCAACAAAACTAGTGATCAGTTTATCAGTGAGTTAAGATATGGATTTAACCAGTGACAGAACCAGTTATCAGTTTATCAGTGTGTCAAGATATGGATTTTTCAATTTAGTAATTTATATTGCTTCATTTTCAAGTGCTTCTCATTTTATAATGTTCTACTTCTATGTTGTAAATTGTAAAATGTTCTAAAATCTCATTCATGTTGCTGAAGAAAACCTCGAAAGCGCCATAACACTTGTCATACGTTGCAGTAATCCTTTACAGCTGTCCATGCAGTCATGGCCACTAGAGGGCAGTCATGAAGAGAAGTCTATGTTCCATGGCTTTCTGCTTCTCTCATTGTGAAAAGTCCTTTTCTTTCACAAATCCACAAGCTTGTTATAACTGACAAGAAAGCAAGGATGAGGTGGCGATCACCGTGGCCGTCGTGGTACAGGTGGTGGAGGGATGGGCCTCTGTGGAGGGACATGGTGGAGTACACGAGCCGGACTTGATACATAACGCTCATGTAGCATGCTCTCTGGAAGTCTGGAGGAAAAATAGGAACAGGTCAAATCAGCTTTGATCATCTGGAAATAAAGCTTATTGGAACTCATTACTATTCAGACAGTCCCTCTTCTACCACAGTGTGGCTCACTGTGAAATATGGCTCTTCAAATGTCCACAAATGTCAACCTATACAACTTACCTGTGTAAAATGTGGTATACGTAGTCACATCTGGAGTGTAACATACTTAAAAATGCATTAGCAAAGATGTGTTTGCACCTCAATCTCACCTTAAAGAAGATTCAACATCATCAGAGACTTTCTGTTCTGTCAGTTCATCACAGAATGCAGCCTGACTCTGCTCTCTGTCTTTGTCTCTCTTTCTCTCTGACTGTCTTTAATTACAGTCTTTAACTGTGTGCCAGACTGTTTATCTGTAACTTTAACTGTTAAAAATGTATATACACCCCTAAGCATTAATAGTGCCTTCACAGATGTACAACTTACCCACTGGCACACCCCCTACTATGACAGACTCTGGCTTTTGAACTTTGCATTAGTAATGATCGGGATGGTCACTTTCCTCTATGCCCTGGAGAACATAACATCCATTTTTCCAAAAACAATTTGAAAGGTGGACTCATCAGACCAGAGCACACACTTTGCGTCAGTCCATCTCAGATGAGCTTTAGCCCAGAAAAGTTGGCGGCGTTTCTGGATGTTGCTAATATACGGCTTTAGCTTTGCGTATTTGAGTCTTAACTCGCATTTATAGATGCAGCTTCAAACTGTGTCTACTGACAAGGGTTTTCCAAACTATTCCCAAGCCCATGTGATTATATTCATTACAGAATCACATCGGTTCTTAATGCAGAGCCGTCTGAAGGATCGAAGATCTTGGGCATTCAGTATTGGTTTTTGGCCTTGCTCTTTATGCACAGAGATTTCTCTGGATTCTCTGGATTTTCTGAATGATAGGCATCATTCACCAAAATTTGTTCCTGAGGTAAGTCCTAAGAAAAAGTCTACAACAGATTCATGGCGTGTTTTTAAACTGCAGAACTGTTTGCACCTTTGTGCTCTTGAGTGTGTGTAGATTCTGTTCTTACATAAGAACAAATCCCAAATAAGAAAACACTGGTGAATGTCAGGATCTTTGTGAAAACTGCCTAAGTGAGTTCTAAGAAGAAATTTCTTCTTATGAATGGTTGGTGAATGAGGCCCATTGTTTTTAAACTGTTGGACAATTTGCTCACACAGTTTTTCTGATGGTTTAATGGTAGAAATAAACTGTACAGATATCAGTGAATTTATACAGTTTGAAGGCTGTGAATATAAGGTTTACTGTCTCTAGAGGTTGATCACTATGGATGTCTCAGATATTTGAAGCTACTGTTGAACTTATAATTCAGTCCTTACCTGCAGGATCTCCATCATATTAATTAAATACTTTTTAAGAAAACAGTTAGATATATCATAGACCTTGATCTACACTAAGTTGATTTCAAACCTACCATATCTTGACTCAGTCTCAAATACAGAATCCGTTTCTGTTAGCAATCACCATGCACCTGATGGAGAACCCGTGCTCATTAAGCTTCTCTGAAATGCACACAAGCTGCTGGAACTGCAGAATAAAATATAATCCACTATCTACTTTAGTTTAAGAGTAAAAGAAGGACTGCAGACATTCTGGTGTACAGTTTCGCTTCATAATTGTGCACTAAGTATTTGTGGTCGGTGGAGTTTCTGATTCCTATCTTGGTTTGCCACACAGGAGAGAGCTTAAAACCAACCCTCTCTCTGACTACGATTGCATCTGTCGCTTATCTGGAGCACAGAGAGCGAAACCTTTTACATATTTTACACTAATAAAGTGCAACAATACAACATTTGTACAAACGTCTTACTTTATACTGCATTTTCAATAACACCAGTTTCTCAGAGGTCTCAGTTTTGTGTTCTGTCTCTTTCCTGTAGCCTCATTTGAAGGCTGCTGTTTCGAGGGGCTTGTTTGTAGTTCACGTGGCACTTCCTCTCTGTTTCCGCTGCTCATGCAGCTTATAAAACACTTGTACGCTTACCAGAGGTGTCTATAAAGCGCTGTGAGAACATGTTGACTGTGTGACACAAATATGAAAGTCCCCTTATGATACTGGTTCAGATTTTATACATCATCAGATAGAGTTCTAGAAAATGACATAAGAGGATCTGATTTTGGAAGATTAATTCTTCTTCAGACATCTGTACGTTAAGACAGGTGCGTAAAAGTGTGGCTCACCGTTCAGGTGTGCGTGGAGGGACTCTGGGTGGGGGGAGAATGGGCGGAGGTTCCACCATTGGGCGTGGAGGCCGAGGAGGAGGAGCGATCTCCGGAGGCTCCTTCAACCAAACAGGATCAAAAAGAAAAACAGACTAGAATTCAGATTTTCACCACAAATACTCCTATTGTTAGCTATGCAATGGACTTTTGTCCATTAGAGAGTGTACAAAGTAATGCATTACAAAGTAATGCAGTAGAAAGTAATGTGTTACAATGACATCATTACTTTTTCTGTAACTAAGTAATTCAATGCACTGCAGTTTAAATTTTGGTTCAACTGACAAAAGTAAACACAAAATTAAAGCTTCATGATGGCTGTTACTATACTTAGCTATGCAATGCACTTTTTGTCCATTAGATAGAACTAGGGGTAATGCGGTACAGAGTAATGTTATAATAACATACTTTTTCCTGTAAGTGTTGTAGCACATTACACTCAAAATTCTTGTAATCGCATTACAATTTTGCTACTTGTTACTGGTATGTCTTTAAGAGGACAAAATAAATCACATGCAATGCTTGTATATCATAAATTATGTATATTGCTGTTGTCAGAACAAAACCTCGTATCTACAAAATGGTAACTTTACAGGAGAAGGTAAAAACCTACTTTGTAAGTCAATGGAACCAGACTTTTTTCCAAGTCATTTTGGGCCATTTCTTTTGGTCCATTCATCATGAAATTTACACACAATGAAAAGGGCAACAGGTCTTTTTAAAATATCTGAAAAACTGAAAAACGTCAAAAATGAAGATACAAGGTTTTGTTCCGACAACAGCAATATATATATATATATATATATATATATATATATATATATATATAGTCCTTGCCTGTCCTTGTACATAATTTGTGCATGTGCCTGCTACTTAATTCAGTTGACTACGTGACTACTGACTGTGAACGTGAGCAGTAAAGCATGAGTGTGAGAAGCACTGTAAACTCAGCGAACAATCTTTTGAGGCATCTAATCACTCTAATAAGAAGCTTATGCTGTAGAAGACATAACCTCAACCTCTCCCACACACTTGCTTTTCATTCAGAAACAGTTCTGTAAGCTTAACATTTTTTTAATTAAGATCTGATTTCCAGGCAGTTTTTGAACTGTTTCTACTGGCTAGTTTCTCGTTTTCTCAAGCAGCATCAACAGTTCATTTCAATCAGCGTAACTGCCTGTGTCTTGTTAAAAGGCCGGGATACTTACAAGTCTTTAAAATGATTGTCATTTACTATATCTTTCTGAATATATTACTGAAAAGGCCCATTGGATTGGTATTGCATTGTATAGTTGGTACACATGAGTTTTACAGAGTAGCTTAGAAGTAATGAGTAATGAGATTCATTCTTCCAGAAAGTAGTAAGTAACATAATTCAATCACAGTTTGAGAGAAGTAACTGGTAACTTGTAATAGGTTGCTTTTTTTGAGTAATCACCCCAACGCTGATCAGAAATCATTTGGCCAAGATCATCTGATGACTGAATGTGGGTTGAAGAAAGTGTGTTATGATTCATGTATGTAGTTTGCGCAATGCTAATTGGTGGGGTACAAGCTTCCATTACGTGATAGTTACGTTAGTCTAGCGGTGGGCGATATGGCAAAACATGATATCATAATATATGTCACAATATTTGTTTTTTCTGATATCTGATAAGTAAGAACAGATAAAGAGGTGCTGCATTTGAAAAAATATTCTCCAAAATTATGAATCCAATTCCTTGTATTGAACATTTCAGTCAGTGTGCTGCACATAATCCAATTAAACAGGACTAATTATGCTCGCTTTGTTATCAAACATGCAGTTGTAAAGTGATCTTTAAGTACTGACAATATCCATAATATGCTTAGAAAAGTCGATATATTGTGATGTAAATTGTGATATAAAAAGAATAGCTCAACCAGTTTGCAGTGAAGTCCTTGTAGTTACTGAATAATAAGCCTTAGTATGTAATAACCCTTTGATTTTAAGGGGTTAAACTATTTTTTTTATTACAAAACCAAAGAAGCAAAATTTAAATGTCTCATTATCTTAGCTAGACTGAAAGACAGTAGTTAATATTGTGGTTCTTATTAAAAAATGACGAAAGGAAGTTTGCTCACCTCGAGTTCGCCGTCTGCTCCGCTGCTGTAGCTGATTGTGCTCAGCGTGCTCAGCCTGTTGCTGCCGCTACCTGTTCAGGACAAAGGTACATGTCACAATACTGTTGAAAAGCAGCATATTCATGATCATCGATATAACTATATGGCCTTAATTAGAGAATTTACTCCTTTTTTTCTTACCTACATTGTTTAAAAAATTGTAAAAAAAAAACCAGTAAAAAATGTCTGACAGCAAAATTGGCCACAAAAAAATAAATAAACAGTAGCTATTTCTATTTAAATATAATTACAGTAAAAAACACCACCTTTCTGTTTCATCCAGTTTTTCTGCTACTTTAGTCATGGTGACCCAGCCAGTAGTTAAGACTCCTCATATACCCTTAAAGACTTGTGAAACTCAGGGGCATGTATGTTATTTTGAGCTTTTATCTAAAGGATTCTGACTGTTATTTCACCAGATATTTCTGCAGATTTACTTTTCTGTAACCGAAGGTCACTGTGATTTATCCAATGAAAGAGCAGGAACATTTGAATGAACAGCCTTCAAATGTAGCAGCAATATTATGTAATGTTAGCTCCACAAAAGCTTTTTCACAGGTTTGTGTCTAATGAATTAGCTGTCATCTGTAAAATCTATGTAATGTTTAACACTATTTAATATAATGTACTAGAGAAATACATAAGGTTTTTCAGATTATACAGTAATGTCTTACATGAGTTTCATAAGCAATCTAACAATATTACACTTTAATTAACAGCACATAACATGCTAGTGTTGTTATTTTACAGAAATAAGCAGTTCTTTTTTGCATTTTCACCTGCATGTGTATGGACTCAATGAAAAATAAGTAAAAATAAATCATAAAGAAAAATCATATTATATATATCATCACTGTAGGAAAAAACACTGCAAAATGGTAACTTTACAGGAAAAACATTCTTAACTTGTAATTTAAGTTAATGTAAAAAAGATTTTTTGGATCATGTTTATTGACCTGTTTATCTTAAATTGTAATCTTCATAAGTGAACAGTACATTGACTGACTGGCATAACTACTTAAAGGTACTAGCTAAAGGGGAGTATTAAGATAATGGTTGTAAATGCTCTAGATTGATACATACAGAACTCAGCAACATGATGCATTCTTAAACATGGGCCATTTTAATCACTGTCATGAGCGATAATTACATGTCAGAGGCTTATCAGTTCTGGGAAACACTGGTCTAAGAGTGTTTGCATGTGCTCAACGGCTAATTCAAGTGTCTAGAGCTTAAATGATGAGACGTGGATGTAACCAAACCACAGAAAAGTACGCTGCAAAATATCTGCGGCAGTCAGCTCCTTTATCGACCACAGATGGTGAAAGTGCATAATGTTGTTATTTTTAAGCAGTTAGTCTTAGTGAAGTGCAGTCTATCATGTCTATAAAAACTCAATAGTAACAAACTGCAAACTAAAGCGTAATGTCGAATTACTTTTTGTCCCACAACAATTAGTGAAGTCAATTATAGTACAATTCCTCATCTCCTCCAATTAAAAAAACATTCAGCTGAGCGTATGTTGCTACTTTTACTCACTGAATGGAGTCATAACAAGTAGAGTTTAAGGTAAAAATATGTTAGCAAATCCAAAGGGACTGCTATTTTTATAAGGTTAACTGTAAGATGAGAAATTATATTGCTCATTTTATTAGAAGACTACATGAATGCAAACATTATGTTGGTGCTGCAACAAAAAATTCAGTTCAGTTGAACTTCAGTCGAAAAGCTCGATTCATGCACAAGTATACATCTCTACTGTATACCCATCACTCCCTCAGAGTGGTGACAGAGACAGAGGCTTACAGTTCTTGGAAAATAGATTTAAATGTAAACTAAAAGAAGAAGCAAAACTTAATGAGATATTCAGATGATGAGACTTTACTCACTAGACGTGCTGGACGCGCTTCCTGTCTGCCAGGTTCCTCTCTGTGGGGGTCTGCTAACGGGAGGTGGCAGGATCACAGAACGAGGGGTGGGCTCATACACTGAACACTCTACATTTATATGAGAACCCCACTGGAGGCTTCTCTGCATGGGAGCGGTTATCTCCAGATCTGATCAAAACATGAAGTAAATGGAGATTAACAGATAATAGGAAATAGTGAATATAGCACAAAAAGATCACTCACTTCCCCATTTTACTGTCATTTCTGGTACAAAGTACCACATAGATGGAGAGTAACATAGCAGAGTATAATAACCCCACTGCAAGCAGTACTAAGGTTATGTGCTGTCATGTTAAAACCTTTGTTAAAACTCATTGTTTTTCATTTTTTTATCTACTTTTTTACACAATTTTAAAATATCAACTGCCCTTTACATCATGTGAACATTTTATCATGAATGGACCAATAAAATGACCTGAAATTACTTGAAATAAAATCTTGCTACGTTAATGTTCATTCACATTGTTTTTTTCTTCTCTTATAAGTTTACTATTTTAAAAAAATTAAGATTTTGATATGATTGTATGAGTGAGAGTATTTTTGGTGTATATTCCTCTAACACATTTTTAATGACAGTTAAATAGTTAATATTTAGTTTTTATTTAGAATTTTTTAAACAATTTCTTTTTAATTATTTGTGTATTTGTTTTTGTTTAGGTAGGAATTGTGGCTTATTTCTTACTAAATGTGTATGCAATATTAGTGGCTAAAAGCCCATTCTGAGTAATTCTATCTCTGCAGGGAACATGCAGTAAACATGCAGTATGTTTTATTAGTACCATCAGTTTGGTAAAAAAATGAAAGCCAATTCTAATACTTTACTTGAAAATAACATGATTCGTTTTGTTTTACCAGGACGTTAATTGTTGATAGTGGTTTTTAATGATTGTTTGGTGTGCATGAAATTAAAACATTACTTTACAAGATTTTGTTATTTCGTTATTTTGTTATTTCATTAACATGGTTTCTTTGAAAATATATTGAAATAAAACTGTTCTTATTAGCATTCATACTATTTAAATGCTTTTTAAAAAGTGAATGAAATATATTTTTAGACATTGCTCACATAATGCTTACAATACAGGGATATATCGTTGAATTCCAACTTTTATATGATATGAAATTCTTACCCTCCACCTTTCCACTTCTTCCTTTCTCTTTGTGCCGTCGAGTTATGCTGTCTCGTAATCTTTGCAAATTCTCCTAGAGGTGGGCACACACAGATACAGACATATGAAGATGTCTCTTTTAGCTTTTAAGCCTTTGGCTACAGCATAGTGCCACAAGTTTTCAGTCAAGTGCATAAAACATTAACTTTTCCAGATCTGAATCATTTTGCTTATCATCACTGTCTGAAGAAAAACAGGTATCTCCAAAATGGTAATTTTACAGGTAAGGGCAAAAATGCTATTCATTTTTAAAGTTAATCAATAAAAGAGCTTTTATTCCAAGCAGTTTTGGAACATTGCAGCAGCTGTGCTCAAATAAAGTAGAAAAATAAAAAAAATAAAAAAAAGGAGATACTTGGATTTTTTTTGGACAGCCGTGTTACGCTATGTGTGAAGCTTAGTGCTGATGGCCTGTCAGTACCTGCTGAAAGCGAACGGACTGAGACCGTTTTTCCTGGTCAAACTGCCAAGCCTTGAACTCCTGCACTGCCTCCTCCACGGTCAGCGCCCCCACCTTTACCCTCTCCTGCAGGGAGATGAGCTGCCTCTGGCCTGGAGTCTTCATGCCAGCGTAGGGGTCATGAGCACTGCTGAGGGTGTTGTCTCTCACCGGCCACACTGAAGCTGGAAGAGCAGGTGAACAACTCCTTATGTACAATTTCTCCCTCTCATAACTACATAACTTTCATATTTGTTTCATAGCAAGTACAAAATAATGCATGTAGTTCATTAAATTGAATGCAAGCTTGTAAAAATATCCTACCATTAGAAGGCTGGCTGTCTGTGCGGCCGCTTAGTGAATATAATGATTCCTTGGAGGAGAACACTGCAGAAACATGATAAAGAATGCAGAGAATGAGCTAAATGATCTACCTAGTTTACTATATAATATGCCACAGAGAGGATGTTTAACATCAGATTCAGAACACAGATTAAATGTTCAATAATGAACAGTTTCATTTGAGAACTGAAAAGTGGGAAATACAGCATTTCAATACAGCTAGAAATAAAGAAAACATTGGTTGAAGTCAGAGGTGAGTAATCTGTACTCAAAAACACTTTTTTTTTTGGATTTGTACTTTCCAGAGTATTTTCACATTGTAATACTTTTACTTCTACTCAAGTACAGTACTGTGCAAACATTTTGGGCACCTGAGTACATTATTAAAAATAACTGGCCAGAAGTGTGTTTTTGCTTGTAAAATCAGCATATATCATTAGAGTAAATGCAAAGTTTGGGTCCAGATTTCTATTTGAAGGCCCTATTGCATGGATTTGTTAACCCCTTACATGGCAAGCTTTATTATACACTTCTATAACCTAAGAATAGCTCAGCCAGTTTGCTTTAAAGTCCATGTAGTTACTGAATAATAAGCTATAGTATGCAATAAGCATGGGATTTTAAGAGGTAATATCACACTTGATTAAACATAATGAAGCACTGAATACCAAAACCAAGGATTGGATGATAACACCAAATAATACTGGGCTGCACCAAGTAGAAGTTTGGAAATGGTAAAAAGAAAACATTGACACAGACATAATCGTGACTTACTGTATTATTATCAATATTATTATTATTTGTACTTATTGTAATATTAGTGTTTTCTGAGAAATATCTTTTACATCTAATGTACTAGTCAACCCAAGTTACTTGGACCCATCTCTGGTTATAGTACACTTTAGGGTCCTACCACTTGCTATGTAGGTTTTGCATTCATCAGGCTCAGATGATGCGGCTGGCCGAGGAATCGGGGCTGGTGGACGATTCAGCACTGCAGAGCTCTCATGCTCATCTACAGTGTCATAGATTTCCTCTGCACAGCAGATCTTATATGGATCCTCCTCCTCCTCCTCCTCCTCCTCCACTGCATAGATGTCTAAATGTTCATCTTCCTCATCAGCTCTTGTGCCTGGATAACCATTATTCACCCCATCTTCTTGACTGTTCTCCGAATACTCCTCTGGTTTTACTGAATAAGTCACAATATCTCAAAATTATAACTGTGCTTATACATTAATAATTAGCCATTATTAACATTAGTTGAAATGCAAAAATAATCAAATCCAGTGAAAGTACTACTAGTTATAGATCAACCTTGCCATTATAAATTCTAAACATTTACACTGCACATAAAAGCTATTTAAAAACCTCTTGCAATATCATTCCTATGCATTATTAAACATAAGTAAATATGCAACCAAACTTGCCTTTTAAAGTAACAGTATTAAGCAAGAAAACAATTTTTGCGTAGAGTATTCAACCTGACTCAGAATGAAGATAATCGTTCATCTTTCATATTCTACCCAATGATAATCCAGAACAATAAGATTTTGATTATGCTGATTACGCCTTAAGCTCTGGCAGGAAATATTTAGACTTACCTTCAAAAAATTTTCTCAACATAGCTTCCTCTGGGTTATCAGACTCATTTAAGGCACAGCTCAAGTCCTCATCTGCAGACAGAAAATATTTACGTTTAATTTTGATTAATTTTCAGTATGTATGAAATACATACATACATACATACATACATACATATATATATATATATATATATATATATATATATATTCACTGGTTAGTCCTGTTTGGTTATGTTGGAGTTTAAAATCAATAGATAGTGTAAACTATGGGTAATTCTATAGTTATCAGCCTCATACACTGAAGAAAAAGAACATTTAAATTAATAATTTAAGTAAATTAGACAAAAATTAATGAAAGTACACTATATGACCAAAAGCATGTGGACACCTGGCCATAAACCCCACCCCCACATTCATCCAAAGGTGTCCAGTGGGGTTGAGGTCAAGGCACTGTGCAGGCCACGGGGTTCCTCCACACCAAACTTGTCAAACCATGTCTTTGTGGGGCACAGTCATGCTGGAACAGGAACTTCCCCAAACTGTTGCCACAAAGTTGGAAGCGTATAATTGTCTAAAATCTTTGTTTGCTTTGTATGTCATTGTATGCTGTAGCAACATTACCCTTTGCTGGAACGAAGGGGCTGAGCCCAAACCCTGAAAAACAGCCCCAGACCATTATTCCTCCTACACGAAACATTACTGTTGACGCTATGCATTCGGGTAGGTAGCATTTTCCTGGCATCCACCAAAGCCAGATTTGTCCATCAGACTTTTAGATAGTGAAACGTGATTCATCACTACAGAAAACACATTTTCACTGTTCCAGAGTCCAGTGGTGGTGTGCTTTACAACTCTCCAGCCAACACTTGGCATTGTGTATAGTGATCTTAGACTTGTGAGCAGCTGCTCAGCCATGGAAACTAATTTCATGAAGCTCCCAGCATAAAGTTCTTGTGCTGATTTTGCTTCCAGAAGCACTATGGAACACTATAATGAGGGATGCAATAGAGGTCAGGCGATTTTTACGCACTACACACTTCAGCACTCAGCGGCCCCGCTCTGTGGCTGAGCTATTTTTGCTCCTAGTCACTTGCATTACACAATAATAGCACTTACAGTTGACTGGGGCAGATCTAGCAGGGCAGAAATTTCACAAACTGACTCGTGGCAAAGGAGTCATCCTATGACAGTGCGATGTTTAAAGTCACTGAGCTCTCTAGTATGATCCATTCTACTGCCAATATTTGTCTATGGAGATTGCAAGGCTATGTTTTTGATTTTATGCACCTGTTAAGAATGGGTGTGGCTGAAACACCTGAACTCAATAATTAGATGGAGTGTCCACATAGTTTTTGCTGGATAGAGAACATTTCAATGAATGAAAACAGTTTATTTTTGATCCAAAGAGAATTCCACTGCAGTAAACGTAAATGTAACTGAAATGTTTAAATGTGGTTCCATTAATAATTTAGCTTTATGTTAACAGTGTATATGCATACTGACTCTACTCTATTTGAATGAATGGAAATGTGTGGCACGATTGAATTAAGAAATGTAACGATTTATTTTTTGATTATATATTAGCAATTAGTTACATTTCTCTCAGTGCTACTGTCACAGTCATCCTATAGTGTTGTATAACCATGAAGACTTCTCAGGCAGTGAGCTTTACAATCACATCAGCCAACTGCCCAAACGCAGCTCTGTTAAATAGAACAGACTTACACAACTGCATCTCAGGATTCAGCTCCATCATGGACTCGTATATGTCCTCCTGGATGGAGTACTTTGTGACGAAATTTTGCGAGGCGTTTGCCATCGGCTCATAGATGTCTGCATCAGCTGGATTTGTTATGGTTTCCTCCATGTGAGACTTCACCAAGTCCACTGTCTCCTGGATGATTACACAGCATACAAAATCCTCATTAACGCCTTGAAGCATATTATTTCACTCTGTTATAAATTTTAAGAGTGTTACTTAGTAGCAAGTGTAAATTCAGTATCTGCTATGAAGATAATGTGTTATGCAGCTTTGGGAGTGAGGAACTGAAACTGTCCCCTACATTCTTAAAAAAGATGGTTCTTCAAGGGTTCTTTGGTAAAGAGAATGGTTCTATTTAGAACTATGAGTATAACTATGAGTTGTACATAGAACCATTTCATGCTTAAATTGTTCTTTGTATGGGGAAATGGTGATGAAGATTGTATGGCACTGTTTTCCACTTTTTGGGAGTCTTTTGTACTAAAATGCAATGCTAAAGCTCCAAAGTTGGAGATGTGACCAATCACAAAGCAGAACACATATTGCCACCATTAAGATATAGTGAAAAAAGGAATTAGTAACTACATATGAATGACTGAAATGTACCTGAGTAAAAAGTAGAATCCTTTATTTACTAATATACTGGAATAGAAGTACTATGATTAGAAAATATAATGTAACTAGGTACTATCCATATCTGTATATAACACATTCTCTATCAATCTGAAGGAGCTTTTCGGCACGGCAACCATGTAAACATGAAATCATTCTATAGAACTCATGGTCCTAAATGGAACCATTCCTTTTACTTAAAAACCCTTGAAGAACCATTTTAAGAGTGTAATGTTTTTAATCTTTTCAACTCCTTGAGACCACCGGTGGTTCCAAAATGCACTTCGCCATATTCTTCATAACTTTCATGTTTCAAAAGTCTAAGATTTTTGGCTTTCAGCAGTAAATTTTAAGCATATGGAAATATGTGTATGATTATAAAACACATTTTCTGTTCATTTGAGGGGAGCTTTTACATAAAATAAAAATTTACATTTATTTCATGCAGTTACTGAATAATTTGCCTTACGATTTGGTCAAACCAAAATATACCCTGGTGAGTGTAATGTAATGTGTAAAAAATGTTTATAGGGTTAATACAACTGACATCAACTGTTTGTAAAAACAGATCTAAAACTTCTAAAAAGCAATTTCAAGCAGTCATTCATTGTTTTATATATATCGTCGCAGTTCAATAAAAACATGGATCTCCATTTTTGTCCATTTTTATTTTTCTACATCATCTGAACATGGCTGTCCTTTATAATGTGTGATTTTAATGATGACAACCAAAATAAATGCTCTAAAATTACTTGGAATACAGCTTCGTTATGTGAACTTACATCACAAATTAAGAAAGTTTTTGCCTTCTCCTGTAAACTTCCTATTTTGGAGATACATGTTTTACTCTGGACAGCTACAATGTTCCCTAAATGGGTAAAGGACTCTGGGAGATACAAACAGTAAAATGAAAACTAAGAATCATATTTTGAAAATATGATTATCAAAACAGTGAACTTTCAAATTCAAACAGTGTTATGAGAGCTGTAATGTGTTAGAAAATGACAATGAATGAAAGTGTTTTTATGTTCTTTCCCATTTAAAGCCATGTCCGCACTTCTATTACACACTTCTGTAGCTGAAGAATAACTGAATTAGTTTGCATTGTAGTCCATGTATAAGCCTCAGGATGTAATAAGCCTTTTAAAACATTAGCTTTGTTCTGTCATCCTTTGTGAACTTTGTAAACAGACAGTACAAATTGAGCTGCTTCACCAAACCAAATATAATACTGCGCTACCTCCTGTGTTAGCTACTGCGTAGTGGCAGTTCATACACTTTTTTTTTTTCTCTCTCTATCTCTCTCTCTCTCTGTCTCTCGCCTACACACATACACAAAATATACACTGCTGGCTTCTTTCAGTGTCACCTCATGGATACAGATATTAAAAATGTAATTATCAAAACAGTGAACATGTAATTCACTAATTTTCAACATACACATATAACGGTAACACCTTCTTTTACAGCCCCCTAAGTTCCAGGTAATTCCGCAAGTTCAAGGTAACAAGCACAAACTTCTAGATAAGACAGTTTAACTAAATTACTCTAAAAAATCCCCAACAGGTTAGATGCTAACCTCTTTAATGGCCAGGGCTTCCCAGGGTGCCCAAAGTTTTATTACACATGTCTATAACCTAAGAACAGTTTGACCAGTCCCTGTAGTTACTGAATAATAAGCCTTAGTATGTAATATGTCTGGCATTTTAAGGGATTAACAAAGCAAGTGTGTGGAAGAAACTCCAAAGAGCTGTGTGGCTATTTATGTCTCTAACTGAATTACACTGAAACACCTAACTGGTTCTACCTATTAAGCAGATAAAGAACATAGTAAACTATCTTATAAGTAGAGAAAGTAAAAATTTTTTGGAGTAAAAATGTGGTAAGTACAAACAAACTTACTAAATATAAAATTTCATTTTAATGACACATGTTTAACCAGGTAAGTATATTGGAAACACCTCTTAGTACCACAAAGTTATATGGGGTAAAAAGGTGACACAAACACATCAGTCCTTATAGTGTGTAGTATGTACCTGTATGTTGCCTAGAAATGAAGGTGAATCTCAACTGTAAAACAAAGCAATGATTCTTGCTATAATTTTACAAAGTTTTAAGCATTTAATACATTTCTTATTTGCTTACCTGATGAAACATGTGACATTACAGCAGAATTTAGTATGTAGTATGTTTGTACTTACCATCTTGTTACTCCAAACAATTATACAAATATAAGATATTTTACTATGTCCTTTACCTGCCTAATAGTTAGAACGTATTATGGGTTTCAGTGTCATTTAGTCAGACTGTCTCAGGACTAACCCTCATTTTACCAAAAAAAGTTACACAACACATTGGAGGAGGTACCACTTACTCAACTGACACCTTAAAATCCCAGACCAAATTACATACTAGGGCTTTTTATTCAGCAATTACAGGGACTTCAATGCAAACCGGCAGAACTATTCTCAGGTTATAGAAGTGTGCAATAAAGCTTTGGGACTGTTGGAGAGCCCAGGCCATTTAAGGGGTTAATATCTAGAACCTGTTGGGCATTTCAGTCTAGTTTTATTAAACTGTCTATTGTACTCACTATTACATTATGCAAAATAATTATCTAGTACTTTGGAAAATGTACCACACACTTATTCAGTTATTACATAGCTGTTTTACCCATATAGCCTGATCCTTGAAAACAATATTTTCAAAAAAGAAAACGTAGCAAAATATAGTAAACATATAGTAACATATCAAAACATATTCTAAAGTCAGTGGCCTTAATGCTGATTTTCGAGAAGATGAGTTGATCCTAAAGTGCTGGTATCAATTCATATGACCTGAAAACAAGACCCAGGCTGCTTTTCTTAAATTAAACTCATCACTCATTGCTCCTCTCTGAAGCCTGTCAAAGGTTTGTATCTCCCAGAATACAAAGAGACATTTAAGTGCCTTTAAAGCCTTAAAACAGACTGAAAATGACTGGCTTTAGGAAACTTTGGTTCTTCAGGAGCAAATTATACATTGAATGGATGTGAACCATAAGAGTAAATCCTAACAATCTAAGGACTCACAAACAAATCACAAAAACAAATCTGCAAACTTACGACATAGTTATCCATGAACTGTCTCAAGTCAGAGAAACCGCTCTTCTCTGCCAGAGTGTTTGGGTAATCCCCATTCTTGTTCACTACGCTGTAGGCCTGCAAGGCTCCAGGGCACTGCAGCAACATGCTGGTCAGTTTCTTTAAGCCGTACTTGGCTGAGAAGTGAAGCAACGTCGGGAGTTCTGAGTTCCGCTGATCTGAAGGTGCCATGAGAGCAAATTTTGATATATGGGTTGTTCAGTTTCTCTATCACGAACATTTATTATTCACTCTAGTTTCATCATTTCAAATACCACAGCATTCTTGTAATCATAATGCATTGCACTGAATTTATGTAACTGAAACATATATATGTCATTTACGCATTCATAAAATAAATAAAACTGGCACAGTTATTGCCAAAAGTAAGTGAACCGAAAGAAAAAAAAATGTAATGATGTGATGTATTTTAAATTCAGTACATCGCTTTCTTCAGGGCATCACACACATTCTGCACTAACATATCATCCTTCAATGCATCAAAAAGCAAACACAATATGTCTTACTTGCCAGTGTATTCTCCTGTTCAAGCTGACTAACTCCAAATACTTGCAATCCATTCGCAGGCATCCGATTCTTGAGTGAATTTGTAAACAAATCATCCAATGCCTCAGATGCATTTGACGAAATTTGAAATGCCTGAAAAAGAAAAGCCATACAATACTGTATCTGTGAGCTTTTTATGCAACAAAAATAGCCATAATTCGTTTTTACGTGGCCATTTTTCCAACCACTTTTTTATGCCTAAATTAAACAGGCTGTTGTTTTTAATGCGTCTGATGTATGTAAATGGCCTCTGCTCTGATTGGCTGCCCTGTATTGTGCCTCATTCAGAAAGCAATCTGGGTTGAAACACTGTTTATCTTTAGCAGGAATTGGCAAGGCTAAATTGCAGTAGGCTAAATTTGGTGGATATATGTAAATGTGACATCATAAAAAAATGAATTCAAAATGAGCTGATTTTGGACTGGAGATTGAATGTTTTGAGCAGTGTTTACATGCTACATCACACTGTTTTACTTCGAAAAAGGGAGGAAAACTAAAATTTTCCTTATAAAAGCCCTATAAAACCTTGGAGAGCAGGGATTATGTTTAAAAAGGAATGGGATTCACATATGGTAAACAGTATTTTTTAAATTAATTACATTTTAAAAACAACTTAACAGAACAAAATTCTGTGTTTTATACCCCTCAACTTATTATCTGAAATCAAATAACTTAAAATTTTAAGGCAGCCTGGACACTAACTTTTATAAGAAGTTCTAAATTCCCATTTTTACAGTGTATGCCAATGACCAATTACCTATAATATAATTATGTTATTATTTTGTATTTGATGACAATTTGGTGTCACAAAATGTTGGATCAGCCATTATATATGTTGGATCAGCCACTATATAAGCTATATGTGCAGACTGCATGTGATGATCATTTTTTATGTCACATATGAAAAGCTAATTGGGATTTAAAGGCTTGCTACCATGCTAAAATTAAATAAATAAAAAATAGATGAACACAATGGAAACTGATGATCATTACCTGACACATGAACTGTATGGGATCCATCACTTTCTCAAGATAACTGCTAATTTCCTCCATTTCTGTGTAGTATGTCACAGTCGTTGAGCACAGAATTGACTCATTAGTATAAAGATGTAATGACACATCTCCAGCTGGCATATCTGAAAGCAGAACAATACGGATTTGGAATATGACTACACTTTAACCACTTAAGCCCAAAGGGCCTGTATGTACACCCACACTTCAGTTCCCAACTCTAATGACATACCATCACAGTCAGAACAAAACCTTGTGTCTCCAAAATTGTAACTTTACAAGAGAAACAATAAAAATGTAATGTGATTTAATAATTCAATGTAAGTTAATATAAGAAGAAAAGTGTTTCTAAGTAATTTTGGTCCATTTATGTTGGTCAGTTTGTCATCCCACACTGTAAACAGCAGCTGGTATTTTCAAATAATGTCAAAAAATGACAGTACAAATTTCCGAACGTGACTCTAAAGTGAGTGAGTAAGCAAGAAAGCAGATTTTATCTATAAAACACTTTTAAAACAGTGTGTGCCAACCAAATGGCTGTGACAAACAACAGGCAACTCCACCCACTACCACTGTCCACAGACATATAGAATATAGAATATAGAAAAGGCTAACGAATTGAAAATATTTTAAGTTTTAATGTCAAGATGAAGCATGTCTAAGATCAGCTGGACTTATTGGACTTAATGGACATATTGATTTCTTACTAGTTTGCAAATAATTGTATAGCAGTTACTGAGTAGTATGTCCAAAGATTACTTTATTTACTGAATAATAAGCCTAGGGTTGGAGGCATTAAAGCATTTAACCTGGGAGTTTTTAAAGGGTAAAACTCAGTCGCAAGATGCAAATTAGTTTAAAAGGTGAAAAGGCAACAGAGAGGAACTTAAAACTTAAGTTCCCCTTTCTGATCTGACTCAAAACAGTTTTCAACCTACCAGGTGACTGAGCTCTGACAATGTAGTCGTTCACAAGCACTCCAGGCACGAGTTTTGTTGAACGTTTACAGCAAAATTCCACTTCCACACTGGCCTGACTGTCCAGCTTCTTAACCATGATGACATAAACATCCACCTGAGCCTGAAAGTGCAGGAGAAAAGCTGCTCAGGAAGATTTTTTTATCCAAACACTTGTCATTTCATGTTAATGAAAAGACTGACAGAGCGTAATGTGTGAAAGTCACAAAAAAAAGTGTGACCAGTGACATTGCAGCTATAGCAGCCCTGACAGTTCCTGGAACAAAGTCAGTAGGCTGTGGAGTCACAGCAGGCTGCAGACATAGATGTTTATTACACAAGGCCCAGAGAAAAAAAGGCTGAACATTGCTTGACTCCTCCATATTATCTGTGTTACAAAAGCAGCTGAACCTAAATGTCCTTTCAAGTCCTGAATATACTTACCCCACAAAGTATTCTGTGTGGTTGGACAGTCAGACAGGCCTGCTCTTCTGATGATACTGCAGTTGGACTCACAGGTTGTGTTGGACTCACAGGTTGTGTTGGGTTTCTATCTGAGACATGTGGATCCTCATCTAATGGGGGGAACTGGTGACACTGCTCTATCTTCTCCGGCTCCTCTGAGGCAGTCAGGTTATTCTCTGAGGCAGTCAGGCCATACTCTGAGACAGTCAGGCCATATTCTGAGGCAGTCAGGCCATACTCTGAGACAGTCAGGCCATATTCTGAGGCAGTCAGGCCATACTCTGAGGCAGTCAGGCCATACTCTGAGGCAGTCAGGCCATATTCTGAGGCAGTCAGGTCTGTACTTTGTTTCGGTGGTGGGATTTCATACTCAGTCCTCCATTGGTATTGGTCTTGATCTTGATCTTGATGTTGATCTTGATGTTGATCTTGATGTTGATCTTGATGTTGATCTTGATCACACTCTTCAACATTTTCTATGAAAAGAACAGATCACAGTAAATAAAACCCACAAGATTCATAATGCTTCTAACTAGCACTGTCCCCTATTTACTATTAACTAACAATCAATAAACTAGGTCAGTTGTTGTAATGAGCAACTTCCACATGACAGTCTTACATCTTAACCTTAACCTTGATGGTCTAGAGGTATTAGAGATATTCCTGTCATTTTGCAGTGCTATTTAGATGTAATTACGTAATTAATTACAAAGTTATGAAATTAATTACATTGACATGAACTACAATTATATTTTGTTTAGATTGATTCAAGAATAAACTTCCAAACATTTTTTGGTTCTTTTTGAAAGAAATGACAAACAATGTGGCAAAAATGTAAAGGATGGTTTTCCTTTCTATTAAATAAGCCTGTTAACTTTTCATAAAATACAAATCATAACAAAGCATCTCCTCTTCTCTTTGAAATCTTGAATGTGATAGTGGTTGAAAGTTTAAAACATGCATTTCTGAACGTTACTAAGTGAAAAAGTACGCTCCTAAAAATAAAAGTGCCAAAAAGCATTCTTTGCGTGATGCCACTGAAGAACCACTTCTGGCTCCCTAAAGAACCTTTCAGTAGATAGCTATTTAAGGACAGAGTACACCAACCAGACCCGAAAAAGTCCCGACCCGAACAAACGAAGTTTAGCTGGTGCGCCATTTGATTGTTAAAAGCTTCTAGAATGTTCTCTTCATTAACTCAAGATCTGAACATTCAAGGAACAACTGTTAACATTTAAACTTTCAAGTTTGTTCGCGTTGGTGTGGTCGGTGTTCCCCATCCCTGAGAACTATTTTTGGTAATTGAGATGTGTGAGCATGAAGAACTTTTCTAAAGCTGAAAAAACCTCTACATCATGTGAAGGTTCTAGGAAGAACCCTTAAACTGGTATAGATTTACATTATGTCAGGGCTCTTCACGTGCACAAATCTCTTTTCAAACATGGTTCTATAGGGCAGTGGTTCTCAAACTGCTCCTCAGGGAATCCCAGAGGGACCACATTTTGTCCTTATGTGTTGCAACTGGACTGTCTTGGGTTCCCTGAGGACCGGGTTGAGAACTACCGATATAGGGAGCTGAAAATAGTATCACTCAAAGAACCCCTGGTGGCATTGTTTTTTTACATAGAGTAATTTATTGCAATAACTGCGACTTCTAATGGTTATCATTTATCTCACCCAAAAGTGAGGGCTACAGTATGCTCAGGAATACAGTGTCTGAGGTTCTACTACTAGAGAACATGAAGGCTACCTACCCTCAGCCATAACCTCAAGGACTGTTGAGATGTATTTTGATGGGTCATCCTCTGAATCCAGCTTCCGCCAAAGGTCCCAGTGCTGAAAGTAGTCCATTAAGCCATCGCTCTCAGACACCCCACACATAAACGCTACAACTTTACATGGAGGCTGAAGAACCTTCTTGAAGGTGCCCTGCGCATCTGGTTTGCTGTGCAGGTCTAAGAATGCCACTGAGACCAAAAGCACGATGCATTTGCTGGAGAGAAAAATTCGAATAGTCGTCATCCTGCAGTGATTTGCCTTCATCAGCAAGATAAAAAGTAATGGAATCCTGAGAGAAGTGATGTGATGCCTCCAGGATGAGCCTCAAATAAGTGGCCCAGTCCTGGGTCTCACTAGTGTGCACAATCAACACTGCACACATGGCAGAGCAGCCAGACTTTCCTGCAATGAAAACATTATAACATAATATTAAGAATTGTTATATAAAGTGGCTAAACTTCAGAAACAACACAAAATATCATTAAAGTCCTTTGAAAGCTGAAGTGTATTAACGTTGAAGCTGTCAGGTTCATATGTTGCATCAATAAAGAGCGTCCTTCTATTGAAGGACTGAGAATCGACTTTATCAATGTTGAAATGAAACTAAAGAGATGTAGCCAGATGGACTTTAACTGAAAGCATGAATAGAGCCATTGTTCCTTAGTAACCTTGGTAAGTCACCAGAATACACGATCAATACTGAGCTAAGCAAACTGCGGGCTGTCGTCAACAGCCAACTTCTCAAACCCACATTTTTGAACAGCCTGCGATCTCTGTTATCTGACAACCTCTCTAATACCAGCTTTCCTACTTTCTAATTTCTATGCTTGCAAAGATTTTGATGACAGTAGTTAAAGAGAGCATCGTTTATGGATGTCCGCTGTTTTCACTGATGAAATACTTTACTGTGCTTTTGCCAGTGGAAAAGCCAGGTCTAAACTTAGTCTCACCAAGTCAAATTAGAGGAACAATTCTGGCTCAACTTCCTTGTTCAAAACCTCTTGGTGTTAACAGTTCTTTCATGCTACTGAAATTTGAATTTTTCTTCTATCTACATAAAAAATCCACCACAAAATACAAAGGCAACCTGTCTTAATGACGTTGTTTCTTCAACCGAGGTCTACGGGTGACCGGGCCAAAGTTCCAAATCTTTAAAAATTCTCTATGTTTATCCATAAAGAATGACTTCTTACTAAACAGCATCAAATTAAAACCAAGACTTTGTTTTGAGTAACTCACCTTACGTACTAATGAGAGGCATTCAGCTGTACTAAAATCTCCAAGCTCCTCAAGCACACACTTTTCTCCTGTATCTGCCTTTGCAATCTAGACGTTTTCTACGTTTTCTGTGTTATATTTGGCTGCTGGCCTGATGTGCAGCCTACGACTTACACATATTAAAAGAAACACTGTTTCCTGATGGTGTGTGACAACGTCACTTCCTAAAACACTTTGCAGCGCTTTGCCTAAAATGTCTATCTGACTGAGGCAGCGATGTTTTGTATTAACCTACCAGAGTTGAACTGTAACTGTAAACTCACTTCCCACAACCCAAATCCGGCGGTTATGCAATACAGTAGTGCAGCAAAAAGGCAGTTCACACCTCTTGAAGCAGAGTGCTCAGTATGATCAAAAACATTCTTTTTATGTTAAACTCACTTTAGTGAACCAGACATTAGAGGGTATGTGTGGTTTATATTTGAGCAGTTCCTCAGTGTGGAGAGACTGGTGTCAGTTTCCGCAGGTGTAGTTTCCACTGGGGGCATGTTCCCCCCACATTTAAAAATCCACATTTTGCCCCCCAGCCCAACAGCCTCTCCACCCCCTCCCCTCTCCACCACCTACTATCAAAGCTAGCTAGAGGTTGTAGGGGAATTACTAAAAAGAGTGAGACAACTCCTGCTGCACAACTGTAAAAAATCAGATGATGAAAAAAGAGAATAGTAGAAAGGGCTTTTTTAACCCCAGTGCTCACACTGTCAGCACACAAGCACATTTCCAGTACTTTCTATTAGTCACAATAGAAATGCCATTATTTGTTCTTTAATGAGCCAAACTGACATTTGAATTTCTTAAACTAAAAATCAGCTGTCTATTAAACTAAAGTGCCACACTTGAAGTAAGAGGCGACTGGCTATTTAAGCATAATGAGTCACGCATAATTGAAGAGTTTCATTGCAAAGCGCAACATAGACCATTGTCAAGAATTTTCTTTGCTTTTCTTGATATGTGTTGTTGGGAGCTGCTTTACACCAGAGTTGAGGAACTCCAGTCCTGCACTGTTTGGTCATTTTCCTGTTCAAACACACGAGTAACACTTTACAATGACAATACATACATTACTTACAGTACTTAAGAGAGTAACAAGCATTACTAAACAGACTAATCTACTAATCATTAATCACAGAAATAGGAACTAACATTTAGATTTCATTAAGTGGTTTATAATCATTACTAAATGCTTACTTAGTATCCCAATTAATCATTAACTAAAAATAATAATAATAACTAGCACATTGTTTTAGATTTTGTTAAGTAGTTTATCAATGTGCTAATTAACATGACTCAACAAATGGGACAGTAAGATCTAAGCACTAATGAACAATTTACTGAAGTCTATCATAATGCCAAGTAAAGTCTTAATTAATACCTTATGACTAAATCAAGAATTCACTAAAAACCTCTTAGGACAAATGTTAGTATTAATTTATCGCATAGCCATTAACTAAAATCTCATGTCAACATTTATTAATAGTTTGGATATTTATCAAGGTAACAACTGAAATACTTGATAAAAGCGGCAAACTGTCAGATAGATTTTAGTGGTTGCCAAATCTGATCCTGGAGCATTCTCCTGTTCCAACTAATCAGAACCCAGTTTCCAAAAGCAGCTTGGAGTTAAGATCATATTAATGGTAGAGAGACTGTTCAGTGTAATACTTGCTCTGCCGTTGATCAATCATCTATGTTCTAAGATGAGTTAAGACTTCTTGTTAAAGGCTAAGATCTGTGGACAAGCTTTTTTAGCACATCTGTGTACTTGCACTGCATATATTACATTATATTATACATATAATCCTTTTTGAATGTATTACTCAAGCATTATTAATAATTATTTAACCCCTTAAAATCTCCAGCAGCACTGCTGTGTCTGATCCACTCAGACCAGCGCAACACACACTAACACACCACCACCACATCAGTGTTACTGCAGTGCTGAGAATGACCCACCACCCAAATAGTACCTGCTCTGTGAGGGCCCATGGGGGTCCTGACCACAGAAGAACAGGGTAAAAGGGGGCTAATAAAGTATGCAGAGAAACAGATGAACTACAGTCTGTAACTGTAGAACTACAAAGTGCACCTATATAGTAAGTGGAGCTGATAAAATGGACAATGAGCGTAGAAACAAGGGTCATAATGTTATGCCTGATCGGTGCGCATGATATACCTGATGTGTATATATATATTTGTACATTTATACATAAGATATTTAGATATATAATGTGTAAGAGCACAGATACCCTATTTGACATTATCATAGACTCTAATAAATTGTTCATTAGTGCTTAGCTCTTACTGTCTCAATTGTTGAGTCATATTAATTAACACATTAATGAACTACTTTATCTAAAACAATGTGCTAGTTTTCATTACTATCATATCATTACTTGAGATATTACTTAAGCATGTAGTAATGATTATTACTCTCTTAAGTATCGTTAATTGATGTATTGTTATTGTAAAGTGTTACCAGCGCACTTAATTCAACTCATCAGTTAATTATCAGGTGTAGTTGGTGTGCTAGAGCAGAGAAATCATGAAAACTGTGTTGAACCCAGCCCCGGCCTTACATATATAAAAATATTAAAGCTAATTTACAAATAGTAGCACCTTTATTAGAGAAATGAAAATGTGTTTACCACTAATGTCAGCTATTATTCTGTTCAAAAACCCTTTATATCCAAGATGATTGCAAATGGACGTACAGAATTTTGGAATGAAACACTTTAATTACACTTTGGCATACTGGTTCAGGTTTAGCAGCAGTGTTTAAGTACATAAAATTAAAACACAGACTAAACTAAGACATTTGAACTGCTTGGACTCCAGTGTCCTCAAGTTGAGTCAACTGATGAAAAACAATGTAATCAATTACCTGATAATTTAAAGTTTAGCTGATGTTGACTTTTACCAAATGGTTCTTCTGTCTTCTTTTAAGCATCATATCCATAAATTTAAAAATAAAATAAAACATTCTTGAGATACAGTAAGTTTTACTCTATTTATATTTGTATATTTCTATATTTATTTATTGATACTTATATTTGTATTTATATGTATTTTCTATGTAGTGAGTTTGACTGCATTACAGGCTAATATCCTTACAAACTCCCTTAAACAATCAAGGCACTCTGGATTCTCTATAGACACGGGCATATTTGTTTTTGTGGCGTTCGTGATTTGCTCACATGTCAGCTCAAACACAAACACAATCATTGTATCTTCGAGCCACATTCTGCATGTGTGGGAAAACTATGGCACCTAACCAAATCATATGATGCAAACTCAACCGATCATAGGGAAGGTGTCCAGAGAGGAGTTATGAAAAACAATCTTCTTTTGATTCCGAAATGAAACAGTAGCGTATATAGCTCTCATCAAACTGGCTTCTTCCTACTCAGCGTTAACAGGTCAGTGACCTGTGCTTTGGAGACTACTGGTGGCTTCCATGCTTTCACTTATTTTATACTGAATGCTGATCAGTTCCTCTGCAGTGTTTAACCCTTAGAAGCCACAGTCATGGTTGGTAATATAAAAGCATGCTGTAGTTTGTTTCCCATGCGGCTCACTGACAGTGGAAATTCTCTCAGAAGCACAGATTCTAAACTTTCAGTTCATTTTTTGTGATGTGTTTGTACTGATTGCAAATTACAGTCATATGCAAAAGTTTGTGCGCCCCAGCTTAAATTACACGTTTTGTTGGTTTTCAAAGTGAAAATAAGTTAACACATCCTCTACAGGAAGCACATTTGAATAGGGCTGCAAATTTTAGTGCGTTGGAAAAGAAATATATATAAAACGTGCCATTTCTTGTGGATGCACAGGTCACATTTTATGCTTTTCCTCTAATATGTTAAATTCAGCAAATCAACAGTGATTGTACATTAACATGTACAGAAGTGTGTTCTCTGTAGAAGATGTGCTAACTTTTTTCACTTAGAAAATAAAACATAATTTGAATGGGAGGTGTTCAAATGTTTGCATACTGTGTATGAAGTTCATTATGTAACTAACTACACAATTAATCATGTCATCATGTAATACAATTAAATATTATAACAAAACAACAATAATAATGCTAGACCTCTAATGATTAGTGCTCTCAATGCCCTTT